TGGCTGGTCTAAGATCACATTTGAAGTGGTGGAGCCTGGTCATCAAGGTATGTTGGATTCCAGGGCTTTGGCCCTTAAGCCCGATTGTGATACTGACACCCTTGTAATAGCCTGGTTGTTATTTAACAGGAAAGGAGTGAAAGGGGAGACTAAGTATAGGCATGCCATTTGTTGAGCTTTGCCAAAACGCTGCATTTATCACTCCAACTCTGTTCTCAGCTCACTGAAGGGGGAAAGGGACTGGACAAAGGCAGTTTAGAGGCATGCCCAGTAAGGTCTGAGTGACATGGGAAAATACTTGCCCATTAACCACACCTGGAAACAGGTAATTGGCCAGGATGGGCCTGGCCACAGCAAGCTCTCAAAATCTAAACATATAAACTTCTAGACAAAGTAAGTTCCCTCTTTCAATTTCAGGGTGAGGGGCCCTCCCGTGACCCTGCTTCAGGGGCTGCGCTCCACTGTGCCCACGTGGTGCATGGCCATTTGAGCTCCACACATGGACTGATGGACTTTAATCTGGCCTGAATGCTAAACCACCGGCCGCAACATGGAATGGGAAGTCTGGACATTGGCTCTCTTTCTGGCTCTGCTGTACTTCCAGCTGCCCCTCTGTCGGGATTGGGTTGGGGGAAATGGGACATTGCAACCCGAGAAATGGAACTTATGCCAATAAAGCTTTCTTCCACATCCCATCCTCCCAGGGGGGCATCTGAAAATGCTTCTTTCAGTGGCTCCCCAAGGACTTCGCTCCCCCAAACAATGGGGGCGTTTTACTCTTTGGCATCAATACCACCAAAGAGACTGATGTGAATCAATGGGAGATGGTTGCTATGCAGATAATTCTCCTCCCTTCACCATGTGCTGCAGGCTGTGAGCTACAGGCTATGTAGATTTTTGGATGGGCACCAACTTTCCTACAGCCAAAGTTGGAAATGGCACTTACAAGGCTCTGCAGAACTTAGAAAGCCTAAGAGGGCAAAGGTGCAGGTGATGTGTAGCTTCTAAGATTTCCTGGATGTGGCTGGTCCCTTTGTTAGTACATTTGGTATCACATTCGTTTGCTGCCACTTGCAGTCTCTATTCTGAGACAAAATATGAATACAGCCATTTTTTTAAACTTCATCTGCACTCCTGAATTCTTGTTAGTCATACCCCTTAGTTGAGTTTATTGGGTAAAGACAGAAATAAATAATACACTGGATGGGTGAAGAGGGGAGGACAGATGTGGGAGACCACAGGACAAAAGTCTGTGAGTGAAATACTTTGAATTCATCATTTACCTGATGTTTTCTCTCTCCAAAGATTTCACTCTTTAAATATGCACCGAGACCTCTGCTTCCAGGAAGATGGGATAGACATCTTTTTTTCTATTTCTCCCACTAAATACAGCTAAAAATCCTGACATTATGTATAAAACAAACATAAAAAGATCCTTAAAGGTGAAAAGAAGGCAGACAGTCTAGGACCTCCAGACCAGAAGGAAGACATGGTGGTGAATTCTCTGTGTTTTCAGCCTC